GGCCAGCAGGTGTGGCCCCAGGACCGGGTGGGTCATGTGCATAGCCCAGGGGGTCACCTTGGGTGCTGCAGGGGTGCTGGGTGTGGCCTGCACGAGGCCAGGCCCATCTGCTTGTCAGAGTTGACGCTCAGGACCGCCCAGGACTCGTCCTGCGCTGAATCCCATTGAGTTCCAGGGATGTGTCCTTATCCCCCTCCTTCCGGATCTGGTGATCAGGGCTCTCTCCACCCCAAGCCAGCCTCACGGCTGCCCCAGAATCCACACAGGAGAGGCTAGGATGCGTCATCCCCAGGTTCCCTTGCCCGCCCCTTGCCAGCTGGGTGACCTCCAGGGAGCCAGTTCGTCTCTCCGAACGGTCACATCACAGCCTACCGCCTGTGGGGGACTAACAGAAAGCCTGAATGACGTTAGTCATCCAGCTGGCAAATCTGCTGAGTGCCTGCTCTGGGCACTGGCATTACGGTGTGATCAGAACACGTACAGGTTCCTGCTCTCCCAGACCGACAATAACATTAGGGAGGGAACAGGTCACGTGGGAGGTGCTGATAAGTTCCGTGAAGGAAGATGAAGCCAGGACGGGGAGAGCCAGTGCTGGGGATTTTAAACAGGGAGGCCAGCCAGGCACAGGCAGCTATTTGAGTCAAGGCTGCAAGGAGGTGAGGGGCCAGGCTGGGGCTCTCCTGGGGAGGGCAAAGTGTTCCAGGCGGAGGGAAGAGCCAGTGCGAAGCCCTCAAGGCAGAACGTGGCTGGAAGGTGTGAGAAGCGGCTGGAGCAGAGCCAGGAGGGAGAGGCAGGAGGTGCCACCAGGGGCGACGGGAGGGGCAGGCGGAAGGGCCTCGACTCTGAGCCACGAGGGAGGCACGGAGGATTTTGAGCAGAGGAGGGACATGATCTGACCTATATTTTTAAAAGATTATTCCTTCCCCTGTGTTGAAAAGGGACCGTAGCAGGCGAGGGCAGAGGCAGGGAGACCAGTCAGGCCAGAATCCAGGGGTGAGACGAGGCTCGGCCCCCTGGCGTAGTAGCAGGAAGGTGGCGAGCTGTGGGCAGGGTCTGGGTATATGCTGAAGGTGGCGCACACAGGATGTGCCGATGAGCTGCATGGAGGGGTGTGAAGGAAAGAGGTGAATCTAGAATAATGCCAGCGTTTGGGGCCTGAGCCAGGGGCCCCAGGAGAGCTCAGCGCTGCTCCCACATAGCAGCAGTACCCGTAGGCCAGTAGTTCAAGGAGGGGAGGGCAGGGCCCTCGAGCAACCTTCCTGGGGCTGCCGTCTGAGGAGGCGAAACCACCAAGGCTGCAGTGCCAGGCTCACCAAACGTCTCTGTAAAGAACATCCCTCCTGTGCAGGGACGGTGGTCTAGCGCAGCCACTAGCAGCCCAAAGGTGGGCCCTGCCCTCCACCCACGGAAGCCAGCGAGCGGCCTGGGATCAAAGCCGAGGGGCCGGGCCTGTTGCAGGCCTTGTCTTCCCTGCAAGATGGAAAGGGCCACGGTCCCCCCACCCCAGCCCCCGTGAGCGCTCAGAGGTCCCGCAGCAGCATACTTGAAAGAGGCCAGGGTTATCTGCAAAATTCCAGTTAAATCCACAGGCTTTGATAATTTGATAAGCCACTCCACAGTCGCCCCAGAGTCAAAATAATGCTGTTCCTTGATTCTGTGTTTATGTTTCAGGATGGACGGGGGAGGTGTACGGTGGCCTGGGACAGACCCCTGAGAGGGAGGGGCTGCAGGCACTTGGCTGACAGAGGGTCAGCCCGTCAGCCCAGGTCACCCATGGGTCTGGGCTCTATGGCGAGCACACTCTGCATAGAACACAGGTCTCTCTTGGCAGGTTCTGGAGGCTGAGAGGGGCCAGGGCGGAGAAGCCCTTTGGAACTGTGTGGCCACAGCTGACCCCACCTCCTGAGCCTCAGGCCTGTCTCATACTGGAGGGGTTCCTATTCTCAGGCCATCTCTTGCCAGATGAGATGTGAACTGGCCCAGGTGTGCGGTACCACCTCAACAAAGAGGCAGATAACCCCCCCCCCCCCCCCCCCCCCCCCCCC